ACATTGCACCATAATCAGCTTCATACATGTGTGCATGAGGGTCAGTTTGTGCACATTTCTGGAAATTCATCATCATCGGAGTTGAATTGCGGTGATTCTGGTGAATGAATAGTCCAGTCTCATCACCATCCGCACCAGGCTCACGAAGTGGTTCTTCTGGTAGAGATGATGGTTCCTCCATGCTCTCCACATTTAGGTCGAAGAACCTACTACTTGCATGCCTTCCCCTTGAACTGGAAGGCATATCGACATTGAGATCGAAAAAGCTCGCAGTCGAATGCCTCCCCCTGGAGCTTAAAGTCATCATGTCAAATGGAAATTGCATAGATGGTTGCGTCGATGGCATCTCCATATGGTCAAAGAAATTTGCAGATGAATGTCTTCCCCTTAAACTAGACGCGGTGTTGCCATACGGATTGTTCGTGGACCCACCTCGGTACATATCTAAGGAGTTGCGGATGAATGTCTCCCCATTATGGCATTAAAATCATTACACATTACTGTAGTCAGGCTGTCAACTTGATCAACTTGTTCAGCCAGCCCATAGTAGGAGCTTAATGATTGACCCCGAACAACACGCACTTGAACAAAATGTGCATACATCTCAATAACTACGTCTGAATAATTACTTTGAGCTTCAACCATCATTTGAACATCATCATTGTTCGAAATTTTGAACACTGTATAAGTTAATGGCAACAATGATGTTGGAAATCTGTACTGCAATGACGACATTCTTCTACTACTTCCAACATGAATCTTCCTCGAAATCTTTGTTATCAACTCCTCAAGAGTTATGTTTCTCTTTAATGATATTTTAACACACTCATTTGATACGAAAACAAAGCCGGATTCATCTTCTCGAATTTCACCATCATAATAAACAATAGCTGAAAGTCGCGCCATTCTTTGAGTTTAAAAGTGCGGCAATATTATATCTGCAAAAAAACTCTAACAAACCTGATTAAATAAATTATATATGAACGAAAATATAATACAATAAATTTTTTACACATCAACGTAAATAATTTAAATAATATAATTTTATATTATTACCTGCACCGCAAAACTATTTTGACGTATGCTCATGCTTTTCAATTTTACAAACACAAAAATTAATTGAAAATAATTAGTATAATATTTTTTTCAAATAATCATAATAAACAATAAGTATAATAAAAAAATTTATAACGAAAAATCGCACAAACTTCTAAATCAAATATGAGAAAATTACCAGAATTATTACTCGTTGACAAAATTGTTGTATTGATTTATAAGTTGAGAGGAGAGATGTGAGGAGATGTGAGAAACTTAACCGGGAATGAAGGGTATTTATAACCATATAAGGCGCGGTACCTACACCGCGCTATATGTAATTATTCAGATAAAAGGTATAGCGCGGATAATTCTATCAGATACCCAGGTGTAGCGCTGAGCAGGGGAGGCGCTATACCCCTACGTGGCGTATAGCGCGGATCAGGGGGCGCGCTATACCCACGTGTAAGCCATGTCCGCATATAGCACGGTACAGGGGGTGCGCTATACCCCACATGGCGTCAAATCAGCATATAGCGCGGGGTAGAGAGCGCGCTTTACTGCTACGGGCGTTAGATTGAGAAATATAATCTGACCGGTGTTAGTTCGATAAATATACCGGTCACCGGTGATTTTTTGGGAAAAACGTCCAAATTCTCCTACTCCTCTCCTCTTTTTAGACTCGCATTGGTTTACTCTCTAGAATCATGGGAATTGTCCCGTCACCTGACGAAAAAAAATTATCACTTTTCAAAGATTCAAGATTCAATGTTATATATATATTCGTGGGAAGTTTGTGTAACTTAGGGGAAGATATATGATTTTATATTAAAATATAATTTTATAAAATTAATACTTTTAAAAAATTTAATTTTTCTATTGGTGTGTAGTTAATTTTTTTTTGTCTTTGTTGATCGAAAGAAGCATTAATTTTCATGTTAATTAACGACCGTTGATATTTCTTATTCTTCTTATGTCGTATCTCTAATTTTATAATTTTCAATAAGTTTATTTGTATGACATGTTTTTATTTATCTTTATTGCACGTTTTCATTTGCCTTTATGATACATTTTCTTTTGTCTTTTGACATATTTTTCGATTATTTAGTCATTTTTTTCATTTATTTTTTTAAGGATTGATTTGACATCATCACGACTATTAAAAAAGATGTTTATATGATATCGTGTTGATCTTTTCTATTTTGGACCTTTGAGGTGTATTTGGATATCTTTTTTGCGTTCATAGATAGTTTTTCACATCACTCGAGTCTGATTTTTGATTTTGTTAGTGGTCTTTCAATTCATCTTTGACTGATTTTTAGTCGAAAACAAACTAGGACCTGATAATATGTAATTTAAATAAAAATGTAAATTATTGATTTCACATATTTTTAGTATATTGCGTTTATTAAAATTAGGAATATGATAAGTGTTAGTGTAATTAGTAACGGTCCACATTAATAATGAGAAAATTTAGAACCACAAAAGAATAACCCTATTAAAATCATTGATTCCTAGTAATTCTGAGTAGATAATATATGGTACAGCTAGAGTTGGCTATAGAATCTTACGTCCGAAGGTGAACTTCTTTACCACGTACCACCAAACACAGACTAATAGTTAACAAGGTGGGAATGCACATTAATTTATAAGGTTATATGATTAGACTCTTTAATTCTTGCATGCGACTCTTTTTTCGTATCTTTCTCGAATGTAAACAGTATGAAATATTAAGGTTAAGAAATGAATTACAGTTGTTGAAGCCAGTTCGAGTACAAGAAGGTAATCACTCAACTATACAAAACCGGGCCTATCTCCCATCTTTATCAGCCAGCCTCAATTCATAATCTTAGCTTGGGCCAAACTCTCTCTTTTTATGGGCTGAGAAGGCAGGACCGTTGAGCTTCACCTTCCTCATCGAATCCTAATTCTTTTATTAGATAGCATGATAGAGGCATCCGTATTATCACTCTTTTTTTTTTTGTTAGGGTGAATTATAAATTTGGTAATTGAATCTTACTCTCTTTCTCCTATTTCACTCACTATATTTACAATTTTTTTTTTAATTTTTTCACTGAACTTAATATATTAGATTTTTTGGTCACCAGATTTTTTTTAATTTTTTCACTACTATATTTACAAGTGGTTTACAACCCCCACACTCGAGTGGGCCTTTTTCTCTGAACCACTTACAAAACCCACTTCTACGGCGGATGTCTGAGATTTAATTACTATCCAAATAAATAGTAATGAATTTTTTTATTTTAAAATATAATAAGCCGGTCTATATTATTTATTATATTAAAAAATGTATTAAAGCTCTTAACCTTAGTGGCGGAGTCCATTATCATCGCACGTGAGAACAAAGCGAAAAGTGATCCACGAAATCATCTGGTCTCGATCCGTGAATTAATGACCAAAGTGAATGGCGTCAATACCTCACATGGGGATGGGGTGGAGCTGCCCTGCACTCCACAATTATTTTTTACTTTCCGAAAGCAATTCATTAATTCTTCAACTTGACATTTACCCCCCCCCCCAAAAAAAAATCTTCAACTTGACAAAAAAAATAACAATATATAATTTTATTTTACTTTCACGAGGTTCCAAATTATTATTTTTTAGAAAAAAATACAAAACTAGTCTCCCGATTATACGGTGTTGATTTAGTGAGTCTTTCCCATATTAAAAAGTTACAAAATTATCCTTCGATTATAAGACATTATTTTGTTGAGTCCTCTAATTATTAAAAGTTATAAAAATAATCATCGACTATTCATATATTCCAAATTTATCATTTTTTATTTAAAAAAAACAACAATTTGAGTTGAATATTAATCTGTTGGTTTTGATATGATAAAATATGATCCCAAAACCTTAAACAATTATCATATCTCAATCAACTGATTAATATCTAACTCAATTTATCATCGATTTTTAATAAAAAAATAAATTTAGAATATATGAATAGCCGAATAAAAATTTTATAACTTTTAATAGTCAAAGGAACACAAAAAATAGACCTCCTATAATTAAGGGATCATTTAATAACTTTTAATGTTCAAAAAAATTAATAAATTAATGGACTATAGTCCGGATACCATTTGCAAATAACAAACCTCAATTCAGTAATAATCCGGAGATAGATTAGGTTTCATAATTGATGCATCCACTCCATTGTCGAATTATTAAATGAAGTGAAACTCAGTAGAAGCTTTAAGGTTCAAACCGAATCCAACGACTTCCATTTGCTACAATTTTTAATTCAAATTATATATTTTTTTTGTTTGTAAAAGAAGTTTACATTTTTTTTATTTACTTATTTCATTAAAAATAAAACTCCTTTATTCTTTCAAATATAAGCAATTAGAAATCGATAAGATGAGAGATCAACTATTTCTTTCTTTGAATCTGAACTGACACGTAGCCGTCGAATTCTAAAACCAAGTTGTTAAAATATAAATTCTAATATTTATTTATCTTAACGAATGCTTTTGATTTGTTGTTGTGCATCTTCATTGATGTTTAAATAAACAATTAAAAGCATAGAATTATTTTTCATTAAAATTATTATTTTTTAATTGTCTCGAGAAGATTCCAGCCGTACATTAGCGTGTTCCTCTCCATTTTTCCTTTTTTTTTTGTTTAAAATAATTTAACTTATAAACTATTTGTTTATTTTAGAAGGATTAAATATTAAATAATTTAAATTTTAAATGATTTAAATATTGAATGATTTAAATGTTTTGTATGAATTAACTATGAATGTGACATATTATTTAATAATAACTCTGAATCATTCAAAATATACTTTAACACTGAATCATTTAAAAATATAAAACAAATACACTAAATACTAAACTAATTAACATTGAATGATTCATTCAAAGCCAAACAAAAGCGCTTAGTTTTAAAACAGAAGTAGAGTAGCAGCCACTCTTACGCTTCTTCCTACGTTTTTTTCACTATATAAATAATAAGCAGTCGAATAAAAATAGAACAAGGTAGGAAGGAAAGAATTCAAAGCAGAAGGCGAGAAAGAAAAGAAAAGAAACTTGCAGTGTAGATCAGGAGGAGTAGAACATCTTCGTCATTTGTCTCTCTCAGATCTGGTTTCCCTACATTTCATTCTCTTCACTCTTTCAAAGCTCTAAAAGCAGTGCCCCCTTTGTCATTGTTGCAGAGTAGTAAGAGTAGAGGAACCGCCTGCTTTTCTTCTCTTTACTTTTCTCTTTGGTTTTTGTATTTAATTAGAAGCATATTTGTTTTTGGTAGTTTCGAGAGTGGATTTAGAAGGGAAAAATCCAAACAAAATGGAGAGGAGCACTCCAGTGAGGAAACCACACGCTTCAACAGCAGATCTGCTCACTTGGTCCGAAATTCCTCCCACCGATTACCCCGCCACCGCCCCACGCTCCACTCGCCCTCACCAGGTAGTTCTTTCAATTTTTCTTTATTATTGGTTTTTATTTTTTTGTTTGGCTGGTGAATTAGTGTTTTTTTTATTGATTTTTTAATGAATGGCAGCCGTCGGATGGGATCAGAAAAGTGGTGTTCGGAGGTCAAGTGACCGATGAAGAATTTGAAAGCTTAAACAAACGGTGAGATCAATTCCCGTCTTCTTTCTCTATACCATTCATTTTCATTTATTATTTTGAAAACTTTCTAGGTAAATGTTTTCTTTGCTTACTATTTTGAAAACATGGAACTGTTACTAGAATTTCGCCTTTGACTTATTATTGTTACTTGTTTACGCCATTTCTGTCTCTTTATTATTCACACAATACCGTTTTGATTTTTTTAAAAGAAAAACTAAGCAAGGAAATTTTAAATTCAAATCAGTTCGTGCCTGTGATTCATTTCCTCAATAGCTTTTATTTATCCGTAATTGATTTTTGATCTGTCGGAATCCTGCGGTGATCCAACTGTACTAACTGTTGATGTATCTAACAATACCCGCTGTAATTTTTTTGTCGCATACCAAATCAATCATGTTTTCGTGAATTAGATGGAAGTTCTTACTGCTTTAAGTGAATAATGTTATGCAAGGTTCAATGATTTAGTCGACGTCAATAAATCAGTAACGTCTGAAAATTGTTTTTTCATATCATTTCATTAAGATTTGTGTGCCAGCTTGTTAGCATTCTGGATAACTAAGGAAGTTCATATTTTGTTCGATTCTTTCTTTCTTCCTCCCACTCTGCCCCCCATTGTTCAGTCGATTTGTTTGGATAAGTCTATAATGGAATGAGAAACTGGTTTTATGCTTTGATTTGCATCTTGTTGATGTCTATACATTTGGTTTTAAGCTACTTGTTCATCTTTTCCAATGTCCAGGAAACCTTGTTCTGGATATAAAATGAAGGAGATGACTGGTAGTGGTATTTTTGCAGCCAATGGAGAAAATGATGAGTCTGAACCAGGTAGTGCCAATCCCATTTCAAACAGCAAAACAGGACTACGAATGTACCAGGTATATTTTTTAGGAGGATACGGATATCTGAGAGTTATACCAATTACCAAGGTTTAGAGCATAGCATATCTGTATCAAATGTTGTTTCATTAAACATTTTGGTGCTTTGCTCTCAGCAAACCTTAACTGGAATCAGTCACATCTCATTTGCTGAGGAAGAGAGTATTTCCCCCCAAAAGCCAACTACTCTAACCGAGGTGGCGAAGCAGCGTGAGCTAAGTGGAACACTGGAAAGTGAGGAAGCAATGTTGAAGAAACAGCTCTCTGATGCAAAGTGCAAGGAGCTGAGCGGACATGACATCTTCGCGCTCCCACCTGAAATTTTGCCCAGGCCGACAGCCGTACGTGCATTGGCGTTGAAAGATAATTTTAAAATGGGAGAACCTGATACACATAATGTAAGTACATGTACTCAAAACCCCCAACTAAATTTTTTCATAGGTAGTTAGGACTTTGGAATTATATTGTTGTGCTTCGGAAAAAAAGGTTAGGAAGTTATACCTATATAGATACTGTCAAGCCTAGTTCCTATGTTCCTAGGCAGAGTTTAACTATCTAACTTCTTGTTGAACTTGGATTTTATTTTTTAGTCTGCCGGAGGTAGCATGTCAAGTGAGGAGGATGTGGCTAAGACAGCAAAGAAAATTTATGATAAGAAATTTACTGAGCTATCAGGAAATGGCATATTTAGGGGTGATGTTACTCCAGGTTCTGCAGAGAAACCACTCAGCGGGGCAAAACTGCGAGAGATGAGTGGCAGCAATATCTTCGCTGATGGGAAGGTGGACTCTCGAGTCTACCTCGGTGGTGTACGCAAACCCCCTGGTGGTGAAAGCAGCATTGCTTTGGTTTAACTTGTTCGGTCTTAATCATGGTGTTTTTCTGTTATCTTCATTGGGGGCGTGTTTATATTATTTGAGAGTTTCCATTGTGGGTTCTGGGAATTATATTTTAGGTTTACCATGTCAACTTGAGCTATGGGCCTATGCTAATAGCTGTGCTCGTCCATGAGTCCTGTGGGTTTCAGTCCCATTCCAGTGAATGTATGTTTCAGATTTAATTTTATTTATTAGTGCTTTCGATTCTCATTATATGTTTGTGTTTATATTATTCAAATTTAGATGTAACATTGAGGACATAAAAATGTGTTTGACATGTTAAAAATATGTAATATTGAATAACAAAATTTATGTAAACTCATAATTGAACAGTACATACCTGAAAATTAACCTTATTTTGTATGAATAGGGATTATTTAACCAACGACGCATCCTGTAGGACAAAATCTGAGCTCGTTGCGTAGGGTGATCAAACCATGAAAGCTGGTATCATTGTCTGACAAGCCGCTGTTGGTTTGTCATTTGAAGAGAGCACGAGGCCAGGGTTTTTGTCATTATTTTCATCTTCTTTATAGCTCACCGCCAGCCACCCTGCTTATAATTTTTTTTAGGTAACTACACTAGATACCATCAAAATTTAGTTGTTATATCATTTATACCATTAAACTTTCAATTTTTTCAATTATAGCACTGAATTTTATTTTTCGTTTCAATTATACAACTAGATTATTAATTGTCAACAATCGTATCAAAATGATGTCGTTTTCGTGAGGTGTCTGTTAGAAATCGTCAACCACATTGGTAGCCATCAGCCACATCATCCTAATGTTAATAATTTAACGATTCAATGGTATAGTTGAAACAAAAATCAAAACACAGTATTATAATTGAAAATATTAAAAGTTTAATAGTATAAATGATATAATGCCTAAAGTTTGATGGTATTTGATTTAGTTTACCCCTTTTTGATTTGCAGAACAGGATGAAAACGGATTACTAATATTTTATGTATTTATTCGTCTGTTAAAGCGTGTTTTATTTTCTCATAGAACACAAGAGACCACTCACATGCAAAATTCATGTCCCGTAAGAATGAATTTGGTGATGTGGCATAAAATTTATCTGGTTTATCAATTTTTATTATTTTGATTTGACAAGATCAACAACCATGAAAGAGCGTTTTATTCAACTGCAAAACATACTCGAGCACTATTTTTAAGTAAACTTAGGTAGCATAAAACTCACAGCATCACAAAGAAAGATGAAATACATAGCCACCACTAAACCATAAGAGTTTGGTCATCACTACTCTTTTATTCAACACAGAATTATATCAAGATATCAGATTCAAGCCTCGTCATGTCCTGCAAGTACCAGCAGCATTTTTTCATAGTCTCCACGAGTGTCCTTGGTAATAGCACGAGTCAGCGGGACACTGTTCCGTCGCTGGTATTCATCTGCTATGATCTTTAAGTCGAACTCGGCCCTAGTGGAAACAACTCTTGTAAGAGCTCCTTCATCTGTTCCTCGTTTATTAATTGCTGAACGAAGAACCTCTTCGAAATACTTTTCGGGGTAGACAAGGCACTTCACTGTGGACCTTAGTAGTTCAAGGAAATCATCCTTGGGATCAGCCTCCAAGTCCTGTAAATGGGTGAGTCAAAGACCAAGGAAAGCCTATCAGGGGGATTCAATATACCATATGCAAAATTATCTTGAAATACCATATGTACAAAAAGATGAGGGATTCTGAAAGAACACCCACAATCACACTTGGTATACCTGAATTATATCTTTTCCGTATTCATTTTTGTAGTGATTCAAGATTGCATTGATCTGGGCCTTGCTTCTCGTCCCCAAAACTCTGATGACATCGTCATCACTATAAGCTTTGTCTGAGATTTTCTCATGTAGTAACTTGGCCTCAGTTTTTGCCAAACTCATGTTCACCTCATCCCCCTCATATCTGTATGCACTCACAAGAGGTAGGAGAAGCTGAAAGGAGTAAAGAAGCGTACATAAGCAGAGCCATTCACAGCAAAGAACAAAAAATAAAAACTTCATTGATCCCCACTAACATAATAAACAAGGCTTCGTTATGTTTTGACAGAACTTAAGCATCCATCAAATTTACCTTACGGAAATCACCAGATGTGTGATGAGCAACATCCTCTTCAAGCGATTTCTTATAACGAGCATGATAAGCCTGCCTAGCGTGAAGGAGTTGGTTGGCAGATCTTGTGCAGGCTATTTCCATAAGGACCTGATTGCTGGAAGTCCACCTCTTGGTGGCTTCATTAGCAAAGTGTGCATCACGTTCAGCGGGATCAAGAGTCCAAAGCGTAACCAGCCTCTGTTAGATAAGAACTCAGAAAGCCACCACTTGTGTTAGATAAGATAAGCATGCATAGAATATTGCCTACCACTGAAAAAAGCAACTGCTTTTGCAGACTTACCTCAAAGTCACTTGTGAGTTCCTTGTCCAATGATTTGAGGAGATCTTCTCCATAGGTTTCAGCGTAAGTTTTTCGGATCAAATTCCGTTGCTCGGCATTTCTGTGACCCAATATATCTATGATCAAGTCCTCGTTGGTTCCCCATCCTGCAATCAAACCATACATTCTAAAAACTTGATCAAACCTCTGTCAGTTCAAAGTCTTTTTTTTTTTTTTGTATCTAAGCACCAGAACAAATTTATGGTCGGATGTAGAGTTTAAAAGAAGAGAAAACCATACCATCAGATCATCAAACCGATCAGAACAACATAATATCAGATCATCAAACTACTAAGCTAGTAACGAGCAGATCATAAATCAAGCAACTTGCTTAACCAAGATCGGGCGGCATCATTTTACGATCGCCATATTTATCAGTATTTCAACACAATCTACATAGATCTCGGCAGATTATCGCAAGATCACCCCCACCAAAACAGAAAAAATATCTCTTTTGGTGTAAAACGAAAACCATTTTCAATTCCAGAATAAATGCAGAAAAGGGTCAATCATGATAGATCCTAGTATATATTGTATTGAAATGATCAGATCAAACATAGTTAGATTAAACATACGATAAAAAATGGGAGACAGAAGAAACTGAAAGAGGAGAGACCTGAAAAGGCTTTTCTTAGTTGCTCACAGTCTTCAGACACTGAAGGAACAGCCGAGGGAACTGTAAGAGTCGCCATTGTTTATTTTCTTCCTCTACTTCTTGAATCTGTTGAGAAACGAAAACGAGAAGATGATCGCAATTTAAGGACAGCGTAGCGGGATTTAAGTAAGAAGTGTCTATCGGAATATGCCGAGTCTCAAGTAAAATTCCACTTTTGCCACGTGAATATTCTCGACGAAGCATACCACGTTGCTACGCCTACCCGTCGCTGTCAGTGTACATCATCGGGGTCAAACCTGACCAATAATTTGGACCCACGTGGATCTCAATGACAATGCTTGTTGATATTTTATGGGGTAAAATTAAGATGATGTGGCTGCTACGGAGTCTGTTTCTGTTTTTTCATTACAGGACCAATAATTCAGGCACAAGTGTTATTCAAAGCAGAGCCTTTGGCTTCCCCTTTAACCACTATTGTTGTTTTAAGCATTGTTACTGCTTTATAGATTCACACTCAAATGCTTACATATATAAAATGGGTTCAGGTCACAGTGCTTTACATCATCGGATTAACATTCAATCTACAATTGATTTTAGGAAATTAATTTTTTGAATTACAACCCTGACACCTAGCAATATTTTCCTGATCTGTCAAGTATAACTTTTTATTAAAGATTAGTTGTAAAGTAGAGAATGATCTCACCAATAGAAAGCTGTATAACTAATGCAAACATGTGTTACACTTGTCTAACTAATCTGAATTTTGTGCATTTATCGATATCCAATGCTGAATATAAATGTATCAACTCTGAAGATATAAACATTGAATTTGCAAATGTATCATTGACCAGCCTCTGCTAAGAAATAGAAAGTGAAACCTACACATTGTTACTAGGCCTGTAAACGAACCGAACGCACACGGACGGATGTATATTCATTTTCGTTCACATAATAAATAAACGAACACGAACATAAACGAACAATTTTTTTTGTTCATGTTCGTTCATTAAGGAATATAGCTTGTTCATGTTCATTCATTTAAATGATAAACGAACACAAACGAACGAACATAATAAATGAACATAAACGAACGAACATAATAAATGAACATAAACGAACAACACAAACATAAAAAAACAAACTTATTCAAACACGACAAATGAATGTAAAAAAAGTAAATAACAAGAATAACAACTTAAAATTCTTTAATATAACCTGCAACTTTAGAGTTAATTTGTTCGAATACGACAAAAATATACATAAATCATAAATAAGTTATATGAACATAATAAATTCTTAAAGTTAATTTGTTCAACAAAACAATCTTCTTGAAATCCAAACAACTTCAATATTCTTCGTAATATATTCAACCTGCCCTCTGTTCGAACATAAATGAACGAACATAAATAGACATAAATGAACGAACATAAATGAGCATATAATCGAACGTTCACGAACGTAAATGAACGAACGAGCCCTTTGTTCGTGTTCGTTCATTTAATTAAAAGAACACAAAATCTTGTTCATGTTCGTTCATTTAATAAATAAATGAACATAAACGAACTTCCCGCCGCACGGTTCATGAACGATTCGCTGAACGTTCTGATCATTTACATGCCTAATTGTTACATAATGGAGTCTGTTTGCTTGGAGATCACTTTAAACATGAGTACATGAAAACCTGGGAAAGTATTCTTGCTAATGTACTTGTATACTAGGAATGACACAACATTAAAATATTTGGCTGAGAAACAGCATACATGGTGGTCTGCAATTCAATGTAACCAGTGACGGATCTAGAAATTAAAAAATGGGGTTCAAAATTTTAATACTCGATTATAAAAAAATTTGAGTATGCAAATTTTCTTATTTTTTCCTATTCTCATTGGTAAACTAAACTAAATTTAACACTCTTCTTAAAATAATGGGTGTGCAATGGCTCCCCTATGGAGCCATGTACATCCGCCCCTGAATGGAACGCCCTTGGGAGGAAATGATTCAGTCGGCTAGCAGCTGAGAAACTGAGTGCATTGTTGGTCTAAAATAAAATGTGGATTGTCTTCCCAGCACATAAAAGCCATCTTCATCACAGATA